AACAGCTCTCCCTCTTGCAGATGATAATGAAATTAAGTTAAAGTAACACTTATAAGACACTTTAAAAAATAAATTTCTACTGAAAAACTTAAAATAATTGATTATTCCTAATCAATTATTCAGACAGTCTGTCCACACTGCTACTTAATTTTTGCATTTGCAAAATTGGTTATTGACTGCCCATCACAGTGGAAATTACATTGATCACTATTATCACCCCCACAAATGGTAGATAGGTAATTTATTCGGATACACACATTTTTAATTGTAACACACTTCATTACTGTGGAGGTATGTCCAAACATATACACAATTATAAAACTTAATACCAAACACACTGACAATGACATGAATATAAAAGGCAAAATAGAAACATTCAACCACAATAGTAATAGGCCTAGTAAAAAATAAAAAATATATAAATAATTAAATTAATTGAAAAAGATATTGGAAGTACGAATTGATCTTCTTTTCTTTACATCCTGTGTGGTGTTTTTCAACTAATAATCGCTATTTTTGTTGCAGCTAAAAAGTGTACAGCACACAATCCTGTGTCTGGTGTTTTTAATCGCTTTATTTTATTGATTATTTTGGAAAATAATTATTTTAAAAAGCGATTATTAATTGCTTATTTCTTGCCAGCAGAAACAGGCCCTAAGTTGATTTCATATTTGTTTGTTAGGAAATGGTTTTCATTTTTCTTAGGCTGGATGAAGATGCAAAAAATAAAATGAAAATGCTGTTAAAATAATGCAGTTTAGAATATAAAAACCATATGGAATACCTTCAGTGTTTTGGACCATAAAGTTTCAGGGTAGATTCCTGTATGTGGTTAGCCGCAAGACTGAGGATGTTTTTTACAACCATATTGTAAAATGATTGTATTGGCAGGAAAGTTAAATTCCATTGTGCTTCAAGTGGGTGCCCAAAGCCTATACATAGCACTGCAAGGCAACTTGACTGTGTGGTCCGAGTCCATAATTATTATTTCGGTTTTATTTATGGATGCTGGTGGAAGATTAAATCTAGAGGCAGCTGGACGGTACCCTAAAAAATAATTAGCGAAATTAAATTGCGAAAACAGGCTTAAAATAATTACAATCACTGTAATTTATGTAATTTTTTTGTTCCTCAAGTGGGTGCCCTAAACCAGAGGTTTAATGTCATTGTGCTTCAAATGGGTTCCTCAACCCCCGCCCTCCCACCCCAAGCTTATGCACAGCCACAGCACGGCAAGGCAACAGGTCTGGGTGGTCTGGTGCCCATCATTATTATAGAAAAAACTGCATAGTACCCAAAACAAAATTGGTAAAACAAAATTTAAAATGATTACATTTGCCAGAATATCTAATTCCATTGTGCCCCAAGTGGGTGCCTAAACCTATACACAACAATGCAAGGCAACAAATTTGTGTGGTCCATCCGAGCATGGAGGTAAAACCGAAGCTATCATTAATTTTTTGTTTTAGTTATTTATTGGTGGAAGACTTAATCCAGGGGCAGCTGGACAGTACCCAAAGCTATTGAGCTAGCCATGGCAAGTGAAAGAAGTTAATTGAATTAAAGAAAGCAAGATAAGTTTAAGATAAGATAAGATACTCTCTGTTGTAACTCCTATTTTATTCCTCTATGGTGAAATGAAACTGCAAAAACAGTTTTAAAATCAAAGTATAACTACAATGATGGTAACCAAAAGGCTCAAGGAACTTACACTAGAAAAAAATGTTTGCCCTCCTCCACCCGCACCTAACTCACTGAAAAGAATAGGGGTGGAAAAAAAAAATTTAAAAAGTCTTTTTTTAGCTTTTTTCTTTACAAATAAAAAAAAATGTGAGTGAATACATTTTTGTTTTTTGCCAGATGCCCTACAAATTAGTCTAAAGTTGTTGTCTGATGTAAAATATTGCCATTCTAGGCCTTTATGGGTTATTTTATTCCATCTGATGAGTATTAAAAAAAAATAAATAAAGAAAAAAACTTGTTTAACCCGCCCCTATTTATCATTTTAAAAAAAAAGAAGGGCAAACAAACAATTTTTTTTAGCCTTATTATTAATTTTATCTGAAGAATATTTTCAGAGTAGGCCTACTGAAATAAGGATAGGGTACATAAACACCTTTTTTTTAATACACATTTTGTAAGAACACTGAGGCTAAAATTGCCTAAAAACTAAGAACAAATTGAGGCTGGTGGAAAATTAACCATTTAAAAAAAAATAAAACCTATTTCTTTTAGAAAAAGAAAAAAATTCTATTTGGTCTTATCTGTACCTTATGTGCAGTAGATGCCTGCGATTATGTAGTAATACTTACAGTCCTGTATATACTGCTGTTAGGCCTACGTATTAATTTTTTGTCTTTGAAAAGTTTGTAAAATAAGAACATTTTGAGCCTGAAATTCGCCAAAAAATAACAACATTTCGAGCCTGAAATTTGCCAAAAAATAAGAACATTAAGCCTGGGAAAAAATTTACTGGTTCTTATAAAAAAAAAAGTTTTATGGTTTTGTTGCCTACATCCTGAGAAAGCTATATAATTCTCTGGCAGGTACCTAGAAAATAATATACTTCTTAAGCAAAATGGGCCATTATCCACTTCAATTCACTTTTTAATTCATCTTTTCTTGTGTGGAAAAAGATAAAGATCTGTTTTGAAATGATTAATGAGAGACATTAAAATCAAGAGGAACCTTAATAGGACAATTGTGGGACCAAGCAGGGGTCAAGTTGTTAATGGCTTTAATTGCTTGTAAAGTGTGTAATTAATACTCTAATAGGTATGATTTATTTTAATTGAATTAATTACTTAGTTATAGGAGGGATCTGGAAGGGAACAGTCTTGTTAGTCCATGTCAATAAATGAGACAAGATAGTTTCCCTTAATTGGAGTAACAAGTAAGGTATTGCAGTAGCAAAGAAAATTATGGGCCATATGAAGGTAGGTTGAAAATGCAAAAGAGGAAAAGTAGGGGAAAATGGAGATCAACCATGAAAGTCAAATATGATGGGAATAGGACAAATAAATATCATAACAAATGTAAGCTTAAATTTTGTAGTTTTTAAGTTCGCCATTAAGACCAAACAAAACTGTCTGCAAAGATACTATAAGCATAACCATAACCATTGAGATGGATTATACTGTAGGCATATGAATCAAAGAAGTGTAGCCATGGAAATAGTATAAACCGAAGTTTGAGATTGTGATGATCCAAGAAATAAAAACAGAGATCTCACATGTGGACATTCAGTTTTTAGAATGAAGTGTATTACTGTAAAAAGGACATAAAACATGACCTCATGTCATCTACAAAAGACGCTTTTAAAATAATATTAAATATAAATTCACCCTATCCCTTAATATGTCTTGCATCATCTCTCTTGCATCATTAGCAGATTTTTAGTTTTAGTAGGCTTCTCATTCCCTATGATTTATGCTCAAGAATGAACTAATTAACTAGAGTAATGGATTGGTAATTTACTTGTGTTCTAGATATTCAAGATGTAACAGCCCATAATATCTATTTCTGCAGGCTCTTAATAATGTGCCATGTTCTTGAAATCTGCTAAAAAGTATATTTTACTGAAGGTTATGCACAAGTCTTTAAGAAAGTAATTAGTTACAAGCGGAAAATAGATTACGATGGAGGAACCACTCATTGGAATTAAAATTTTCATTTTTTTTTCATGACAGAATAAATCACAGTTGACAAGATTGTGATACATGTTTCCTGCTTGATGATTAAAAAAATATTGTGACTGAAGCACCATAAATATAATGTACATTTAAAATTGAATAAATTTGGACACAAATTTTGATTAAAATATTTTGAATTATTAATAGCAATAAATATTTATTGGTGTCTCAGAAAGTTTCTTTTTTTACATTAATATTTCAAAGGAAATATTCCATAAAAGGAGATATCTTGGCCAGAAAATATTATATTATATAAAATGTAAAGTACACATTAAATTACATAGTTTGCAGTATTGACTTATAATTGAGATATATTCCCTGGAAAAACTATAATAATAATAATAATAATTTAGTATTTAATACAATAGAACCCCTCCTTTGGGACACTCCTATTAAGAGGACACCCCTATATGGGACACTTTTTTGGCTACAAAATGAGGAAAAGTAAATCTTTTAACACTGCATCCAACCTCTATGCAGAGGAAATCTCTATTAAGGGACCACTTTGTAGTACTGCATTTTTCATGAGGCTTAGGAAGTGGGCTTGGATTGAACCCACAGCTTTGTAATCAGAAGTTGAGCACCATTCCTACTACCGTATGTTTCTGAAGTCCCATTTACACTAGACACGATTACGACATGACAACGACATGATACAGATGCGTGCAGCGTTGAAGAATACAAACTAAGCGATGGTATGTCATTGTTGTGTAATCATGTTTAGTGTAAATGGGACTTAAGCCTGGCCAGTCATTTATTTTTTTAAAAATTTATTTACAGTATTCAGGTATAAAAACAAATTTACGAGCAGCTATACAACTGAAATTGTATTACAAAATCAGTAAATTACAAAATCAGCACATTCCAATACAGAAATTTAGGATTCCTGCTAACATCCCTCCCATTGTACAGCACACATCAGACTCTGATCCACAATTATGTACCAAGAAAAGTGTATGCACAGCCACATCCTGTTTGTATCACTGTTTTTTAAAATAGTATTTTATAAATGTATGATAAACACAGTTTTTTTTCTGTTAAAATCTGTCACACAACAAAGCCGGCTATAGAAATTTGGAAGAATTCTTTTACTTCCTCATTGTTGTCACCAATATGCGTGACGTGACGTACAGAGGAAGGTAGTTACCCTTGTGTTTAATGCCACTTATTATCTTGATTAGAACAATAGGAGATTTAAAGGGGGCATAAGGCATACACCAACTCTTATGTCTAAATTGAGGAAAAAAAGTCAATGTACTGTGAAGCAAAATACCAACATGTTCAGTTGACTGACTTGATTTATAATGTATTTATCTCATTTGAATGTTGATTCACTGGAGGATAGCTGTACACAGTAAGTTAGATGCTAGAAATCTGTAGAAATAATAGAGAAAAAATGAAAATTGAATTGAAATTTAAGTCCGACAGTGCCATTTCCGGCCATCTAGAGGTTATTTTTATATTTCTTACCGCAACCCCAACAATGGGGGGAGGGGAGTTGGCTGTTGAGTTAAGGTGGGTTTATCCTCTATCTGTAAAAATCCCTACCCCTGGGCTCCTTTTATTACAAATTTTTGGATTCATTAATGGTGTTCAATTTGGCCCACTTTATGCCATTCGAGGACCCTGGTGCCTCATCGAATCTTGAAATTTAACAACTTTCATTGTGTTTAATATATTGTTTTCAAGAATCTTTTTCATCATTATTTTTTATTACATTCATCTGCAAACACTAAGGTGGTCCTTCCAAAAGAGCTGATGTGGACCATTAGCATAAAAACTAAAGGAACACATGTTTTCCACCCTAGATATCCTTCACTGGGAAGAGTAGGGTTGATTATGAACCAATTATCTTCTGTTTGCCACATATCTTAAACTAGATAAATAAATAGAGGATTACTTTGATTTAAATGGTCCTTGAGTAAATTAATGATTGCATTGATTTGTACAAACTAAAGTTATCTGTGAGAGAGTCTGTTTCCCCTTCATCTCAGAAGGACATCACTCTACATGTCTATGCATGGAGGTATTTTTTTATATACCTCCATGCTCTATGTTTAGGCCTGCTACATTATACACACTTGCATGACATAGTGTGCCATGTTCTGAAATGAACACATTGGACACATTAACGTTTTCCTTTCCAAAAACCCACCTAAATTCGAATCCAAAAGGTTTCTTTGGACAAGCACTAATGATATAGAATCGGCTTGAGTCCCTGACCAAAGCCCTAAGCAGCCCCATGGAGGTATTATTGAGAAGGAGATCACTCGGCAAAGCCACGCGCACGCAGCGCTATGCAAATGAACCAAGATCAAAGTTGCCGCAGCGCGTAAAGAACGTTTGCGCGATGCCTTTGAAGTCCCATGTGTTCCCCGCCATCAAATTTTCAGCAGGCATAGTTGACCAAAAAATTGAACATGACGAAACGGAGAGCACCTTCTTTTCTCAATGCGCACTACATACTGTCAATCACTATGGCTGCGCAATCTTTTCTATTTTGAAGCCGATACATTTATCTCTCATAAAATATCAAACATATTAATATTTTCCTCCAAGAAAAGTTTCGGATTTAATGGAACATTTACATGACCTATAAAAGTATAGTATATTTCAACTTCAATTTTCATAAATTGGCCAAAATTCGGCAATTCTAATTTTAACAGATATTAATTAATAAATGATTAAGGATTATAATATACTAAGTCATTTTAGGGTTAACTATTCGAAAAATGAATAAAAAATCTGAGTATTTTTCAGTTTTACGCTGACTTAGCTTTATAGTCGAACCAGTCTATCTTTAGACAAAATTATAATGAACACAGAAGTAATTTTAACATAAATATTTTACGGAATCCGTTCCTGAAATATACAGTCTCTTATACACATCTAGATGTGTATAAGAGACAGCATACCAAAAGCCCGAAAAAATCTAATCAGGGGAACATTGTTCATTATAAAGATATTTAATGGGTTAAAATCAAACGTTTTATTGCACAACCGCTCTGCTGGAAGCGTATAAATGCATGTCGTTGCCAAGTTGTTGCTAACGAAAAAATGTGAATTATAGGATAATACGCCCGCGTGCGATCCAAAAGCGGGGAACACATAGGTTTGTCGCGTCAAAGGGATCTGTTGCCGAGTGATCTCCTTCTCAATAATACCTCCATGGCAGCCCTAAGCAGGTTTGGATCCTTGTCTGACTTAATATCGGATTCCCTATTGATAAATTTCTAAGCCACCGCTTCATACGTTCTTATAACATAGTATGAACATTTGTGTATTCTTTAAAAGCAGAGCACATAGCTGAATATTCCCGACTTTCTATCGGAAGGTTGGGTGCTCGTCACACCGCTTGTGTTTGAGTATAAATGCATACCAGGTAGGTGGTGAATGATTTGTTAGTAGTCCTGTACATGCATTATCTAGGAATGCTCCCCATGTGTATAATTGATTCTGTATCTAATAACCAGGGAAAATGTGCTGTGAGACTAAAGCAAAGAACATAATATAAATGCTGAAATGAAATGAAATAAATATAACCAGAGAACACTGTTTCATTAAATATTCTTGAGTACTGAAGTATACATCCTGCCATTTTTTAGATCAACTTAGAGTAAAAAAAAATATTATCAAATTAAAATTAAACCCTACAGTCAACAGGAGTTAAGTGATTATGTTGTGAAGTACCATGTAGTGTAAATCCTTACTGATAACCAGAAGGCATTGTGAAGGTCATTGAGAAGTTCATTCACATGATGTAAAAGGGGATAAGGTCAAGGGTGCAATGAGATGCCAATGAAGTGTACCCGAGAGAGAGGGGAAAGTCACATATTGCCGAGGCTTTCTATTTCGCTACCAGATCAAAAACACTGTCTTGTAAGTACGGTATGTGTTCTGTCGCCATCAGGGCTTTACAAGTTAAGACCAAGTAGTTTCTCTTAATATTTTGAAAAAAGGAGAATTAGGGCATTTTTTAAAATTCCAAGATGGTAAATTCAAGATGGTCGATGTGAATTATTTTTTGATATCATTGAACATTAGAAAGCCTAAGTATATATAGCTTAAGCTTAGGAAATGTAGGCTTTTTGATAGTACACTACAGTTTTTCATTAATATCCTTTTAATTTGGCGTGTAAGCCTATACAGGTATATAGCCAAGCGGTTAATGCAGTGGCACCAGGCCCTTCAGCCATGTTAGCATTGGTTTGAGTGGCACGCTTGCCTGCAGTCAGTTGTGGAAAACGTCTTCTCAGATAAGGACTATAAACTGTGGTCCCAGTGTACACAATTGGTGAATGCGTACCTTAAACAACAGTACATTTTGTGCGACGTGTAGGGTGTTACCTGGGTGTACAGGTCCATTCATCCCTTGTTGTGGCACCAGTTAACGGGGTAGGTCAGATGTGAAGTGACCCGAAAGAGAGAAGAAAGTTAATGAACAAGCTGTTTATTCCACAAGCGCTTTGAGACTATTACATTCAATGCCGTAGCCAGGATTTTCAAACAGTGCGGGACAATATCAGGGTGGACCCACTTTACGCGTAAATTCAACTAATGTGGACCTATTTTCTTAAAAGTTGACCCATTTTATGCAAAACTATGAAAAATCTGGGCCCATTTTCTTAAAAGTTTACCCATTTTAGGCTAAATATGAGAAATATGGACCCATTTTTCAAAAAGTGGACTCATTTAAGCATAAAACTGCATAATTTGGACCAATTTTTTAAAGTGTGGACCTGTTCTTTATGAACCTATTAGAAAAATTGTGTGGGACTGTCCCAACTATCCCAATAGCTGGCTACGGCATTGATTACATTCTACATTAAAGTTGTTTGTTGCTGGTCATATCAAGAGTCAAGTGCATAACACACATAACACATTCATGTAGATTTGAAGTGATTCCCTTTTTTTCTCAAGATATTTTTCTCATGGTTTGTTTTTACCTTTTGTGCTCAGTAGATGTGCGTGTCGTATCTCTCTACCATTACAGTATAACAACAATAGCGATTCATAAATCATAATTTTTTCCCCACAAAATGACTTCTGGTAAATAACAAAGGTAGTAAGTACAAAATGCCTAGCAGAGCCTAAAACAAGGTAACAATGAAGGCATTAAATGACAAATAAATAAGTAAATATAAATACCAAAAAATAGTAATATTAAACAGTAGTTAAAATTATAAGCATGGGAATTATACATTTGCCGTTGTTCTCTTTAAGATTGAACTGTCTTTGTGTCTTGTCTATGGTCTTCAAACAAATTACTTTGGAGCCAGACTTAAATAACTTGGGCCTTATTTGGCTTCTCCCGACACAATTGCATTTTTTTTCTAAATATATTATTTCTTTTTTGCCTTGTTTCCACTTCCATTGTGTGAAATCTGAATCTGACATCTAAACCAATGTCAGCTGTAATGATAGACAGCAAACATATTGCCTGCCCCTATATTATTAGCAGAGCTAATTTTATGCATGTTTTTCATAGATTTATTTGGTTTTAACAACTCTGTGATGTCTATATAGTTACATCAATCCATTTTAATATATAAACTTTTAAATATTTATGTATGTACAGTAGTTTTGATGTAGTTTGTAATAATTTCTGTGATATCTTTTTACACTAAACTTTTTTATAGAATGTTTATTAATGGATCTTAAATACTTAATGTTTTAATTAATTTTATGGATGTATTACAACTCGTGTTTTTTTAATGTGATAAGCAATAAATCTGAATGTGGGATCTCCATCTATCAGTGTTTCTCTCCGTTTATACTACCTCCCATCATGCTAGTTTTAATCATATACTTCTTCATGACCAAAACAACTCTATTCTCTGTAATGTAAAAAAGGTTATTTGCTATTATTAGTTTATCCAGAGATTTTATAACCCAGAAGATGCAGATTAGGAATTTATTGACTAGGAAGTGCCCCAAAAAGTTGACACCAATAAACATGTACACACAACTTGCTTCAAGATAGATTGATCATCCCTTCCAGGTGTTGCATTGATTTATGAAAATGGTTGCCAGTCCGTCAGTCTTCATCTCTCATTTTTGAGTGAAGCCTTCCAAATCTGTTTTCCAATACAAATGAATTATTAGAAAAAGCCGAGCTGTTCTTACCTTGGTCCTCTTCAACCAAATACAGGTGTCTGTGTGTCGTTTGGGGGTAATTGTGTTAAGCACCTGTTTGGGAATTTCAACAAAATTTGGCGACTCCAGACAACCATAACTCTTTTCATTCTTGACCTATTGCTGACCAGTCCATCTCTTCAATCAAAGCCGTTTGATTAGATCAAGGCTTGGGCTTCAGAGAATGAAGATACATATTTTTATAAGATAAGTTTTTAA